GTGATTTTCCTTTACATGAAGAAGATGTTCGCGGCATGGGAGGGGGTGCATTACCATACTGTGCATGAAATTCATTATACAATTGATGAAATAAATTACTAACCTCGTTGTATTCTTGTTTAGGGTCGATGGGATTATCATCGAACTCTTGAGTTGGAAAAAAAGAAGCATAATAGTAATCTATACAACTTGCCAACGAGGCAAGTTTATAACGAGGATCAAGAACAAATGCAATACCAAATGCAGATTTTAAAAGTGATTTTCCTTTAGATGAAGAAGATGTTCGCGGCATGGGAGGGGTACATTACCATACTGTGCATGAAATTCATTATACAATTGATGAAATAAATTACTAACCTCGTTGTATTCTTGTTTAGGTTCGATGGGATTATCATCGAACTCTTGAGTTGGAAAAAAAGAAGCATAATAGTAATCTATACAACTTGCCAACGAGGCAAGTTTATAACGAGGATCAAGAACAAATGCAATACCATATATATGCGGAATATGTGAATAATATTTTAAAAACTTTAGTTTCATGAAATCACAAAAATAACTAACGTAAGCGGCATCGGAAAATTCTAAAAAAGCGCCGGCGAGATTAACAGCTTCAACAAAAAATTCGTTTGCTTTAGGTTTATAAACATGACTAAAAGTTTGAGTTGCGTTATTAAAATATACCAAAACATTAACAATTTTTTCACAAGTATCGATGTCAGCCGGGTTTATAATATAGTTACAAGTTTGTCTTAAAAAAGCAGGAAAATGATCTTTATATCTAATAAGTACTTGAATTAAGTTATAAGTACTATTCCAACGAATAGACAAATCTTTAGGAAAAGCACAATAATTGACACGTCTTTCCTTCAAATATTGCCGCCATTGCATTTTTAGTGGAGTGTTAGCTCAAATCAATTTAATTCCCCCTTCACTACTTCCAAAGCATTTCCTAATGCCGCTAACCCATCTTGTACACACAAATTTAGAATATGACATGCATAACGTTGATAAAAAAACCTACCCATCAATGTAGAAGCACCACACAATTCACGCAATCTAGGTATAGCAGCAGTATTATTACTAGCATTATCAAAACCTACAGCAAACACCTTATCAAACAAATTATACTCAATTAAAATACGCTCAATGAGAATATAAATATTATCAGCAGTATGACGATCATTGAATTCACGAAAAGCAAGAACACATTTATGCATATTCCAATCATCATCAATATAATGTGCAGTAAGACCCAAAAAATAAAAATGATGATAAGTATCCTCTCATATATCGCTACAAATACTAACATGTCCATCAAAGTTTGCGAAAAATGTTTGTAATTTTTCTTTTTCAAAGTTATATTGCCTTATAACTTCTTTTTTAATCGTTTTGCGACTATAATTTCTAAATTGAGGATTTAAAGTACCTTGAGCATAATCTCTTAAAGCAAGACTTTCGGAAAAAATATAGGGTAAATTTTCTTCAACAATTAATTGAGACATACCAGTCAAATGTTTTTGATCATCATAGGAGAAATTACCAAAGGGTTGAGAAATTGCAAACCTCGATATTTGTGTTTGCTTCTCCTTTCCTTTGTCTATTTTCGCATACTCCACAAGGTGGGCGGACTTAAGATGCCTTGTCAGACTCCCGTATCCGCCAAAAGTTCCCAAGCTATACTCTTTGCCGCAACGATTGCAACTTGCGTACCATTTATCGGTATTTTTGTCTTTCCTTTTTGTAAAATTGTTTTCAATAATAGGAGATTTAGATTTCTTACCAACTTGGGATGAACCACCCTCGTCCTCCAACTCTTGCTCATCATCTGGGGTGCCGTGAGTCCCGTCGCCCCCCCGCGTCCTCCTCCGCATCGTCATCCTCGAGCTCCTCTTCATCAATGGTTGTCGGGATGTGTTGTTCTTGTGCAAAGCGTGGATCATTTTGGGACAATAGGTGTTGTAGTTGCTCGTCGGACATCATCATATATATCATCTCTCCGTTGGTAATCCGTTTCAAAATCATCTTGACTTTGAAAAGAAGACTCGGCCCGCGCTTTACCTTTGCCTTTGCGTGAAGTAGGAATAGTCGACGCAATCTCCCTCTTGCAGTTGCGTTACGTTGGAGATTACCCACATCTACAGAATGTCTATCACGCTCCATCTTTAAAATTGAACAAATATTAAAGGGAAAACTGTCAAATAGGTCCTCGAACTTTCATAAAAAAGTCAATTAAGTCCTTCTATAGGAGACTTTGTCCGGTCTTCGCGATTTGGGGCGGTTCCCGGTGGATTTTTTTGCTGAAATTTTTTAAGCATCTTATTCATCAAGTCTAGTTTACTCATACCAAATTTCAGCTAAAAATTTAATTGAGAGCGCATTCAAATTGATTCGAGAACGCAAAAATGTGCAGTTATCTTCAAGAATTAATTTGAATGTGTTCCCGATGAATTTTTAACTGAAATTTGGTATGAATAAGATAGACTTGGTGAATAAGATGCTCAAAAAAATTCATCAAAAAATTCTACTGGGAACTGCCCCAAATTGCGACGGCCGGACAGAACCTCCTATAGAAGGACTTAATTGACCTTTTTATGAAAGTTCGAGGACCTATTTGACAGTTTTCCCAATATTAAATGATATCAAATATTTTATATGAGTACAATAGTAATAATAAAATGTGACTAAGAAAACTATACCAAATTTGAACTAAAATATGAGTATATTTTAGTGTAACAATTTGTTTTCCTTGAAAAAAAAATCGAACTACTTCTAATTAATACTTTAATGAGAAATGTAGCAATTAACTAATATGAGAAATGTAAAAATTAACCACTTTTTTTTACTTTAATGAGCAATGTAGCAATTAACTAATATTAATATGAGAAATGTAACAATTAAGTAGTTTAACTAATATTAATATGACAAATGTAAAAATTTACTAGTTTTTTTACCTTAATGACAAATGTAGCAATTAACTAATATTAATAGGAGAAATGTAACAATTAAGTAGTTTAACTAATATTAATATGACAAATGTAAATATTTACTAGTTTTTTTACCGTAATGACAAATGTAGCAATTAACTAATATTAATATGACAAATGTAACAATTAACTTCTTTAACTAGTTCTTTTTACCTTAATGAGAAATGTATACTTTAAGTAATACGGAGTATTAATATGACAAATGTAACTATTAACTACTTTAACTAATATTAATATGACAAATGTAAAAATTTACTACTTTTTTTACTTTAATGAGAAATGTAGGAATTAAATAAGTAACTAGTTTAACTAATGTTAAATGATAAATGATATGTAACCAGTAACTATTTTTTTTCTTTAAAGAGAAATGTAGAGAAATGTAACAATGAACTAATTTAATAGATAATTGATAAGTCTAACAATTAACTACTTTTATAAAATGTATGAATGTGTATAAGTCTATATAGTTTATATAACTTGTAAATGTATTATAAGTAATATATAATATAATGTTTATAGTATATAATATATAAGTATATTACTATAAGATGAGTAATACACTTATACTTAATACTTTAATATATATATATATATATATATATATATATAAGTATATATTAACTAAATGTAATATGTAAATATAAGTAAATAACAATAGTATGGATAAAAACTAAATATCAAATAAATATGAATGTGTATAAGTATATATAGTATATATAATGTGTAAATATATTATAAGTAATATATAATATAATGTTTATAGTATATAATATATAAGTATATTACTATAAGATGAGTAATACACTTATACTTAATACTTTAATATATATATATATATATATATATATATATATATATATATATATATATATATATATATATATATAAGTATATATTAACTAAATGTAATATGTAAATATAAGTAAATAACAATAGTATGGATAATAACTACATATAAAGTAAATATGAATGTGTATAACTATATATAGTATATATAATGTGTAAAGAATTATAATATGAATGTGTATAAGTATATATTTATAAGTAGATAATTAATATATAAGTAGATATAATAATTGTATAAATTATACGAAGTATATATGTAGAAAGAATTTGGAGAAGATGAAGAATGAAGATGATTGAATATGAGAGATTGAGAGAATAGAGAATTAGAGAGTAGGAAGAGTTGTAGAAGAAGAGGTGTAAAAAATGTATAGAAAATAGGATTATAAATAGGTTTTTTTGTATACCCCACCCCGCACCCCGACCCCCCAGACCCCCCTCCTATGCTCCCAACGGCTATAGAGCCGCTTGGGACACTCCCAACGGCTATTACAGCCTTTAACAATTAAAAACAATTAAAATTAAAAATGTGACCGTTGAGGCCCGAACCGGTTCACTATATAGCAGGCCCGGGCCCGGACCGCTATATCACCGGGCCGGGTGGCCCGAACGGGCACTAACCGGTTCACCGGGCTGGTCCAGGCCCACACAGTAGCGGGCCGGTCCGGTTCCGGGCCGGTTGGCCCGACCCGAGTCCATTCCTAATCCAAGACGAAGTTGGCAGTAGTCTTGGACTCGAGTCAAGCCGCGTGGCCCGAGAACCGGCCCGGCCCACTACTGTGCGGATCCGGCCCAGTGAACCGGTTATGGTTCTGGGCCTGGGCCTAGGCCCAGTCCCGAAGGTTAGGGTGGGCTGGTCTCGGTTCAGCCCACTCTTTGGAACCGGCCCAGCCAGTCCCGGTTCGGGTGTTTGTTTTTCATTTTTTTGGGCTTTTTCCTAGATTGGGCTGGGTGTTTTGGTCGGGTTTGGGGGGTGGGGGGTCGGGGGTTAATTAGAAAAGAAAAACATAACATGGGCCCGGCCCGACCCGGATCCGGTGGTAACCCGGGCCGGTCCTAGGCCTTCACCCCAAACATCAAAAGCCCGACCGGGCCTAGGCCCGACCCGAGTCCAACACTAGTTGGCAGATAAAAACAGCAAGGTATTCACAATAGCCTAGATACAACATGATTAAAACCTCAGCACTGCCAGTGTATTGGAAGGTTCACAACATGTTCTTTTCCAGCAAAAAACTCTACGTTAGAAGGGCATTTGCCACGTTTTAAGTTGGCGCCATTCTCATGGAGAAATTTGGGATGTATTCAGATTTTTCAAAGTGAGCCACATGGCATAGAGACTTACACATCATTGTCATCATGGGGGTGGGTGGGGGAGAGAAAAAAACAGATAACTAGTACTACGTATTATACATGAAAATATAACGCAGATAACTATGGTAGAAAATCGCATTGAAAAACACCATAACTGATGTCCAAAGTGATTTAAAACGATTGCCTTTCCATCAGTCAAAGAGAAAAGGTGAAGCTTTAGCAAGCTTGCCAATGGTATTATGAAACAATTAGGGAAGGCTAGTCCGAACATTCCACGTGTTTTGTTTCCTGAACAGCTTTCACCTTCTCCAATGCTGAAATACGTCCATTTAGAGATTGATAGACAACATTCATCTGAGGGGCAAAAAAAATAAACAAGAAACCATCACATGTAACGTAGCAAACTAATGAATGCAGCATATGCTAAACCTTAACAATACTGACCTTTTAGTATATAATATCAAAAGAGTTTAGCTAGAAGAAACCTTTAAGAAGGAACAAGTGTAACTGCCATAGATAATCAATTAATAATTCATTGAAATGTGAGTACTTTTGAACCAAATCCCATCTTTCTACTTACATTCTTAGCTGGTGGAGGTCCTTAGAATGATATCCATGATAAAATGCAATGTTCTTAGTTCATTAACTGGTGGACCATCAATGCAATGGAAGACAAATTAGACAATAGACACCCATGCATCAAGTTGATCGTGATGTTTATACTGAAGATCAATGGTGCCCAATGCTCAAGCTCCCAAATGATGGGGGGCCTTGGGAGATGCATAATCCAAGGTACATCTCCTTATATTATTGCAAGGAGATGAAACAAAGGCACAAGGGGTGGATAGTCCACCAATTGCACTGGTTCCACCTTTTCAGCCCAAATTCACAACTTCTTGGCATTAAAACTCATTGCAACTCTAAAGCACTTAACATGGCTTCACCACAAATGAATAACTACATACTCCGTAATATCTTATGACCATGCATGATTTCTCAAATTGTGTTCAACATTAAACATGTATATAGATTAAGCGGAGTGGGAATCAAACTACATGTTGTAAGGTTGGACTTCCAGCATAAGTGATTGTAGAACCAGTTGTCCAGTTCAAAGGTAACTTAGTCATTGAAGTTTGGTTTCCAGAAATCCAGACCAAGATTTAACATTTCTTAAGGTGGCATTGTGACAGTGGTTATTTGGTAGAACCTTTAATCGGCTTAGAACAGTACTACCTCCGTCTCACTAACATTGGGACATGAGGAGTTGATGCGGTTATAAAGAAAAGTGGGTTTATGTGGTTGATATTGAATCGATAAAATAAGAATAAAGTAAGAATGGTTTAGAACCACACAAACTTCATCAAAATTGAACTTTATTAAAATTGGTATGGACAATTTTAGTGGGACGGATAAAAAAGAAAATATGATACAATTTTAGCGGGACGGAGGGACTGAGGGAGTATGTAAGCAGTACTAAACAATGATTGATGGAGATGAATCAGATGATTCCTTTTTAAGCATTTTCAATAATAAGAACCAAGATATATATTTTTAAGCCCGCATCTCGTCACTTCGCAACAAGTTTAAAATTTTCTAGGGTCGTAAGAAAACAGAGGACCACTATTGTAAGCCCAAAACACCATACATATTAACCTAAATGATTAAATCCCTGATCCATGGATGAGAAGGATGACTGGAAGTGGAAGAAGCATTGATTTGCAGATCATTTTACATAGCTTCTAAAGTTCTAGCTAAGTAAGCTAAATGAAAAGATTATACGGCTTGAACTCCCTACTTACTATCTTTCTGCAATCCACCTCCCAAGCTAGTAACAGTACATTTATATAAATGCCAAATCGTATTGATATAGCATTGTTGTCATTGTCACAATTGCTACTTCTATGCGTAAAATGATCAAAGAATCTCCTTGTTCGGATTTCCGAAGCTTGCAAATAAACATATCCAAAAGAAAACAACAATGCCTGCTCTCGATTTCCAAACTAGGGTTTATTCGAAAGAATTAAGTGACAAATTATCCATAGTATAGTTAGGACGAGATACAGAGAATCAAACCTGGGTTGAAAGAGCATGGTGAGCAGTCTTGTAATCATCGTAGAGGACATAAAGGCCGACAGCCGACGCCAAAGCGGCTCCGGTGAAGAACGAAGCGAATCTCACCCTCAGCAGGAATCCCATTCTCTGTACTTCTGAATCCGTAACATTTCTCTCTTTTTGCTCCAACTTCGGAGTCTTATTTTTCAGATCGGACGATGATAACACTGATGGGCCTACTAACTCGAGTTTAGTTTGGTGGGCTGAACGTTTATTTTGGGTTCAAAGAGAACAGACTTATCAGAACACGTTTTTTTTGTCCAGTTACATATGGAGTATGTAATGTTTGGTAATTCTATTAAAAAATTAGGGGTGTGCATCGGTTCAAAACCGAATCGGAACCAAATTTGCCAGAAATAAGAAACTGAAAACCGGACCGGATATATTCCGGTTTTGAACTGGAACCGTACCGGTTTAACCGATTCAAAACCGAAAAAAGGCTGGAAGAACCAGTTTCTAAATTATTAATTTAATTTACTAAAAAATACAACTAATTTGTTTAATAAAAATGGGGTATTTGTTACTAATAATATTACTATTACTATTACTCCCTATATTTATTTATTTAGTTTTATTAGTCTTAGAGAGTAAAGATTGAAGCAATTGATTGTAGAATAGTAGATATTAGTTAATACTACTTATTAAAAATTATCAAGAAAATAAAAAAAAAATAGATAAATAAAACATTAGGACAATATACACTACATATTAAAAAGATTACTATTTATATTGTTATTACTATTATTATTTTTATTATTCTATAACTATTTTATATTATTACTCTTAAGTAATATATTAAAAATATAGCAAAACCAGTATTATCCGGTTCAAAGCAGAACAATCCGGTTTTTAACCGGAACTGGACCGCAAATCGGATTTATAAAATTTGAAAACCGAAAACCGGACCGAATATCATCCGGGTCGATTCGGTTCCGGTCTTTTCGGTCCGATCCGGTCCGATTTCCCGGTTTAAACCGATTTGTGAACACCCCTAGCTCAAATAACTATTTAAAGCGTCCAAATCAGGGGCGGATCCAGGATTGAGGGGTGAGGTGGGCTAAGTAGTAAAAATTTTCGTTATTGCATACAAAAGGTTTAGCTTAGGACTGATAGTTATTGAACTGAGTTTTTTTTCAAACTACTCGAGTTCGATCGTGATTTCGAATTTAATTTAATGACCAAAGCTTAACGAGCTTCAATCTCGAACACGGGCTAAATTTTAGTTTTAATAGTTTGTTTTTACAAAAAAACGGCCGTTATTTTTTTGAGTTTGAATAGTTATTCAAGCTGAATTCGAGCATAGTCATGTTCAATTCGATCTCGACTCGAGCATATTCATAACTTATAAATTATAGAAATAAACTATATACTACCTCCGACTTTTATTAAGACTAATTTGACTTTTCAAGTCAAAGAAGTTAAACTCTGAATGACTATATATTTATACAATAAAATTGATAATATGAAAATGAAATGGAAATGTTCTTTGTTAAAAAGTTTATCATAAAAGTATAAATTTAGTAAGTTTCACATTAATACATGAGTTAAAATGATGGATCAAAGTTTACCATCTTTAAGTAAAGAGTCAAAGATGGCTAAATAAAATGAGACAGAGGTAGCATATCTAAAATTTAAACGTTTTTAGTGTGATTTATAATTATATTATTGATTATTAAAGATTTTAGTATTTATTGATATGAATTACTCCCTCTGTCCCTAAAAGAAGTTCCATTTCGCTTATCGAGGGTCAACTTAAATCACTCTTAAACTCTTACTTTTTATATCAAAATTTTATAAAAGTTGAATTATTTTTTGCAGGCTTTGTAGCGGGTTTAATGTAGTTTCTGAATATGTAAATTTTATATACTAAAAATAATCCGAGTTTTCACAGGGATCATTTAACTTTATCGTCGGTCAACCTTCGTAGTCCGCAATTGAAACAACATTTAGGGACGGAGGGAGTAAAATACTTCTATAAAAGTATAAAACTAATAAGTAAAAATAGTCGATGTACATAAAACTAATAAGTATTCCCAATTTTAAAATTGAATTGAGATTTTGAATCCATTCTTACATGCCTAAACAGTAAATACATCGTTCTCTATTCTTTAATTGCATTATAAATAAATCATTTTCTAATCTTTAATTCTATCTTTAATCATTATAAATTTATAATAATAAATAAAAACTATTTTACTATCTACTGAAAAAATTCAATTAATAATCAAATAGAATTACAAAGTTGGTAGGCTTGGGCTGGGCTAGACATTAGTTTTGAGGTGGGCTGGAAAATAAACCTATACCTATAATAATAAAAATAAATTGGGCTGGGCTGGGCTGGAGCCCACCCCTGCCCCAACATAGATCCGCCCATGGTCCAAATTAAATTTTAGTAAAATAAGTTTTTTGATAGTCTATATTGTCCTTCCATCACATAGCACCGTCCCAGCGTTCCCAACTTCCAATCGGTACTCATACCCCATCGATACTCCTCATGAAAATGAAATTTAGTGTTTTGATTTAGTCATTACCAAACTAAAACATGTCTTCTATCTTTTTTTTGTTCGTGTAAATGAATTGAAAAGGACATTCTTTCATTCATCAACCACTTATTATGTAGAAGGTGAAACTATATATTGTCTTACAATTATGTTTGATGGAGAATGAGTAAAATTAGGAACTCCTAAATTACACACACACAATACCATTACAATTTACAAACTTCAATCACAATTAATCGGAAGGTATTCCTAAATTAAACACACACTCACTCACTCACATGATGGGGATTTAATGTCTCGGCAAACTAAGAGCGGAGGAGGGGTATCCTAGACCTGTACAAAACCGGGCCGGCCCGCCCGGCCCGCCCGGCCCGCCCAGCCCGCCCACACAAATTAGCGGGCTTGGGCATATATATTTACCCACCGGCCCGGCCCGGGCCCGGCCCGCAACAACATATGGGCGGACTTGGGTTAGGGTGTAGGCCCGTTCGGGCCGATAAGCCCGGCCCGCTACATTTAGTATATATACATATATATTTTTATATATACTAATTTATGTATTTATTTACATGTACACTTGTATATTTTCATATTTACTAATTTATATGTATACGTATTTATAATTTATTATGTTTAAATTTAAGTTTTTAGTTCTTAACAAATAGTCCAACCAATATAATATCTATTTTTGCACTTAAAGATAATAGTTTGTGCTTGAATTTTAAATTTTAGATATAGTTTCTCATTATTTTTTTTGTGTAAATATTTTTTGTGTATGTTATGAAAGGCCTATATACATTATAAGCGTATTAGCAATTTTTTAAATGTTTTAATATTATTTATAAAGTATTAAATAAATTATATAATTTTGAAAAATTTAAAGTTTTACCGGGCCCGACGGCCCGGTGGACTACCCGGCCCGCTCTTACGGGCGGGTATGGACATAGGGTTAGGCCCGTTTTGCGGGCCGGGCCGGGCCCGCCCACACACGACGGGCAGAAAACTTATGAAAAGCCCGGCCCGAGCCCGGCCCGAGCCCGCTTTTGTACAGGTCTCCGGTATCCTACTCGGAGCTCTAATTCTGGCTTGGAGAAAGTTGCAAGCAACGATGGGGAGTGATGCCAATCCGCAGAAGGTCTTCGCGTCAAAGAGTTGGGATAAATTGAAGATATAGGGTCCCTTTGTTTTCCAGCGGATTACTACTGACCCGCAGCAATTTAGAGCGTTTTCTTATTATAATATATCAGCGGTTTGAGCAAATCCGCTATGGTCCAAACGGGGCATAATCAAAGACACATGTGGCTTTCTCCCTTTCTTCCCGTGTTGTTAAGGGCATTTTAGATCTTTGAATCATCTTTATTTATTAATATTTAATTTAATTTAGTGAGTGCGATTAGCAATTAGGGGGCAGTGAATAGAATTTCTTATGTATATTTTGTTCTTAATTCAGCAATTCAGGCACACCATAGACTAGGGTGGACACAGTTCCACTTCCATGACCAGATCGGACTAGAATTTCTAAGTTTTTCTTACCCTGAGTCATAATTGAACATGGTAATCCGGCTGATGATGGTACCGATTCCGGATCCAGAACTTATTATTCCAATCCTTTTTCGATTCTATATTTTTATTCTTATACATATATATTATATAAAGAATATGTTGTATCGAATGTTCAATAGCATAATACTATATGATTGTATACTAATTATATATAGAGAGAGAGTTTGCGTCAAATAAAAAGTACTTCCTAGGTGAAAAATAAGAACTAATCTTGGCCATTGATGTGAAAAAATGGATGGAGGAGATCGATTTTTAAGTTGAAAACGCGGTGGCATTTTTGTAATTATGGAGAACTTTTATTGAAAATATTGTGACAAATGTGCATCAGAATAGTGAAAAACCGCACACGTAGAGCACAAAAGTACAATACAGTACAAAATAAAAAGTGCACAAGCTGGAAAATTTTGACAATCTTTTTTGACACGCATGAGTGCACTTTTAATCAGTAATTATCCACTTTATAGTATAAACGTTTGAACATTTTTTAAAATCATCTCTTGTGTTTAAAGTTCATCTAATGCATTCATTTTCAAGTGATGGAAGGCCAAGATTTGTTCTCACTTTTCATGGGAAGACTACTTTTTACTTGAACCAACCCATATGTGTGTGTGTGTGTATCTAGTTACGGAGTATAATTTAACAAGGTGTTCTTCCAGTAAAAATTAAAAGAAGTTTTGAGTATGAAATGAGAATGAATCTTGATTGTTGAATTCGAAGATGTTACATTGTCAACGCTTTCATGTAGCATAATGTTATACTAATGGTGACATTTTTATTGATACATACTTCAAATGTGATAGGTCCCATGTGAGGTAAAATTCTAGGGGGTGAATAGACTTTTAAATCTTTTCAATTTCAACCTTTTTTCCTCTAACAGAATGAGTTCCAATATCCTTTGGGAGATATTGAAACATACAGCGAAAGTCGTGACCTCAATAGTGTGACACTTTATAGAAACAAAGGTTATGACCCTTTTAGTTGTGAGAGAGATGGCTTAAACAGGATGCAAATGTGTTTGCCAGGATCAACTGGCTCAAATAGTAGGCTCCTGAATCCTTAGGAGCTGACTGCTGAAGTGCTCAGGAGCACACTGATTTTGCTGCTTTATCAATGTTTGAG